TGAAATTCAGGACCTAAACAACAAACAGTTAGTTGACTGAAACTTGAGCCTTGTGTCATAAAATTGATATTAGGGTTACCTGCAGAGAGTCAATTGTTGCAGAGAGTTGCATCTTTAATCTTATCACCAGACTTTTGTAAGCAAAAAACTAGCACTAAAGATATCTCATGCCTGATCTTGGTTCCACAATTAGATACCTGGGAACTTGTCTTTGTGCATTTCATTTGCAGAGGCAACTAGTCTGCTTTGACTTAGCTCTGAGGTTTTAAATCAGCTAATGGTGTAAAAAGCTGTCTTTGTAACTGAGAATATTGTTACTTTCTTATGTCAGTTTGAAATAAAAAAAATCTTAGTATTCTTTCTATTCATCAAAACTGTACAGCTTAAGAAGAACTCATTTTCCTAACCGTCCACAGATATATGTGTGCCCAGTAGATAGAATATATACACAAGATAAACACACAGGCAGTAAGAAAAATACTCATAGCTGGTTTTGGGGAAAAATTTAGTGGAACATGAGAAAAATTACAGACAGAAGCAACCAGTTTCCACAGCCAGTAGCCTTGTGGACTTTACCTAGTGGGGCTCTCCATTAGAGAGTTATTCATCTGGTCGGTCGACCTGTATTATTAATCACCATCTGCTGTATTTATGTCATGGCCCATGACACTGAACCTCTGAAACTCTAAGGGAGCCACCCCAATTAAATGTTTTCCTTTATAAGAGTTTCCATGGTCATGGTGTCTCTTCACAGCAATAGAAACCCTAACTAAGATAGAACCCCATGGCCGGGCTGTGGTGGTGCAGGCCTTTAATCCCAGCACTCAGGAGGCAGAGGCAGGTGGATCTTTGTGAGTTCAAGGCCAAACTGGGCTACAGAGTGAGTTCCAGGAAAGGAACAAAGCTACACAGAGAAACCCTGTCTCAAAAAACCAAAAATAAAATAAAATAAAAAGATAGCACCCCACTAATTTCTGTGCCACTCCCCACCCCCAGGCCTTGTTGGAGTACAGACATTTAAATGTCAGAAACATGGATTTTTACAACTTTATACATTAAGAGGTATGGACAATAATATCAAGGAGCATTTAACAAACATAAGAAAGCTTTGCAAATATTACAAACTAAAACAAGTGAGGAGCTGAGTGCAGGCAATTGGATTTGAGAGTCATCTGTGGACATACACAAAAACAGTTGTTTGAATGCAAAGGAAGTCAATTAAAATGCAAATATTATGCATGTTCTCTATTAAAAAGAGCAAGGAAATTAAGAAAACAAGCTAAGGATTAAAAATTGATTATATGTTTTAATTAAGTGATAATTTATGACAGAGCTTTAATGGAGATTATATGAAAGTATCTGGGGAAAAGTTCACCAGTGACAGTGGGTTAAAAGTTAATGCTGTACAAAGGTTATAGAGGATGGTGCTTTAGAATACTTCTGAAGCATTTTAATGCATGCTCCCGAAATTTAATGTTTTAATTAATCCATAATAACTTCATCATTATCAATAATATTATAAACTCACTGTACCTTGTGTCCATTTGGGAGAAGCATTTTCTCATCTGGACAATGCATTGCTTTTCAGAACCTTCACTTTGTTGGGGACAGTCAGGTTTTTCCTGCTCTGAAAGGAACCAGATATGAGCCTGTGAACACACTATTTCTAGGGCCAGAGGTCAGACTTCCTCATTCAAGCTTACTCCATTCCAAGGTTTTCCATCCCTTTATGTTTGGAAGTATTTAAGTGGGCAAGAAAGCCCTACTTGCCAACAGTGATCAGCCTAGATCCATATTTCCAATGAGACTTGCTCAGGAAATACAGATGGTCCAGGCTTTAGTGGGACCCTCTCTCTCTCTCTTTTTTGCTTTCCTTCCCTGAGCTTTGGTCTAGGGAAGCCATGGAAGCCACTGAACCAGCAGGTCTTCCTCCACCTGGAGCTGTCCAGGGGCCCTGTGGGGATCAGAGGAAGCTGGAGACAGCAGAATTGGGAAGCAGACACATGGAGGGGGGACTGCAGAGTCAGGAGAGGACTGAGTCTCCTTTTTGGTTGACTATACTAGTCCTTGGGACAAGTGGAGATGGAGAGGGGAGAGGAAGAGACCTTTGTTGCATCTGTGGTAAGAATGGACAAAATGCCCAAAGTAGAACAAACGAAAGTAACTACAACTCAGATCTGTATGCAGCCAGCATGTCTTTCAGTAAAGTATGCACAATAAAGGTACTGTCAAATTGCACGAATGTTTCCATGTGTCATACTTACAGCTTGACCCTGAAGATCAGCCTCCTGCAGGGACTTTCCCAGGGACACTTGGAGTGGTATGCTGGATATTTTTATGTAAACTTGACACAGATTAGAGTCATTTGAGAAACAGGAACCCCAATTGAGAAAGTAACTCTTTAAGATTGGACTGTGGGCAAGCCTGTAAAGCATTTTCTTAATTAGAGATTGATGGGGTCACTATGACACAGATCATAGTTAGTGGTGCCATCCTTGGATGGGTGGCCCTGGGTTCTATAAGAAAGCAGATTGAGAAAGTCATGGAAACAAGCCAGTAAGCATCACTCCTCCATGTCTCTGCATCAGCTCCTGCCTCCAGGTTTCTGCACTGTTTGAGTTCCTGTCCTGACTTCCTTCAGTGATATTTCATCACAGCAATAGTAACTCTCTCAGGACAGAAATTGAAACCAGGTTAGTGGTGTATAAGTGTAACAGACCTGACCAAGTATTTTTTGGAAGATTGTGGAAGGACTTTGAAATTTTGGGCTAGAGTGTTCAAAGCTTGGTGAGCTGTTCTGAAGGAGCTTGGAAGATAAGAAAACAGTGCAGAGGACAGATAACTGACTTGGGAAGTTTCAGAGGGAAGCAAAGGTTCTACCAGGCCATTCGTGTGAAGAATCTGTGGAGTCTGGTCAGCTGGGGCTGAAGAATCAGCTGTGATTAAGAAGAGAGCAGCATCACTGAGGTAAAATCTTCTGCGAAGTTGTTTCCTCAGGGTCAGTACACAGAGGCTATGTTCCAGATTTGGCCAAGATCCTGCCATGAGCTGACAGCTTGGAAATGTGCAAGAGTCACCTAGGTGTTACTGGTTTTTTAGGCTTGAAGAGTTTGTGGAGAACAGCTGAAGCTTGGCACTGGGGAAGGCCAGGTGAAGCTATTAGTGAGGGTGCAGCCTCGGTGGCAGTTGAGGCCCCAGGATTGAAGGGGTTATGCAGAAGCTGAGGCTTGGGATCATGAAGAGAGTCCAGGAGAGGCTATTGGTGAAAGTGCAGCCCAGTTGCAGCAGAAGACCCCAGCATTTTGGAGATGCCAGGCCCATGGGATGACCACCAAGAACAGCTGTGGGGTAAAATGGAGCCTGCCCAAACTTAGAAGACAAGCTATGTGTGCTGCAGAAGGTGGAGCCAGAGAATTGACCCAAGCCCCTTAAAGAAGCCCAGAAGATCATGAGTGGATCCCAGACACTGGACACTGAGTTATTTGCACTCTTGGAGTTTGTTGTGGTTTTTTCAGATTGTGACTTTGTCTAAATTGGTAGACTGTGGGACTTTTACATTTGCAATATGTTTTATATTAGATATTTATTAATCTGAGATCTGGGGATAAATAAAAAATGAAAGGTTATATCTTCTGTTGTTATTGTTTGTTTTCAAGAGAGGGTTTTTTTGTGCAGCCTTGGTTTTCCTGGAACTCTGTAGACAAGGCTGGCCTTGAACTCATAGAGATCCAGAAAGGTTATGTCTTAATAAGTGTAGTATTTGTGTATCAAGATGACAAAAGGTCTGTTGTGCTGGCTAATTTTATGTCAACTTGACACAAGTGGATCATTTGAGTGAAGGGAACCTCAACTGAGAAAATTCCTTTATAGGATTAGGCTGTAGGTGATATGAATTCACAACACGCCCCCACGGTTGGGCATGGTCGATCATGCTGGGTGGGACCTAGTCACTTCCGCCTAGTCTTTTCCGGGTCAAACATCTTGCGTGACCCGGGACCTTGGCTTTACTTGGTTGTGTAAAGCATGCAACACAACCATGTGATCTATGCGCATGCATAGAATAGCCACATGGGCCTGTGTGTGCAGGCGCAGCCCAGCCTTTATAAGCCTGCACCATGATTCCCAATCCCCCTTCACTCACATGTCTTTCCGCAGGCCTGTGTACATCTGTCCTTCTCCCTTATCTTAATAAAACTCTTGTTAGTGGATTCTGTCATGTTTCATGACTTTTCCTCGCAGGGTAAAAGCGCCACAAAAACCAACAGTAGGCAACCCTGCAGATCATATCCCTAATTAGTGATTGATTTGGGAGGGTCAAGTCTATTGTCGGCCACCCCTGGGCTAGTGGGTATGTCTGCTCTAATCCCAACACTCAGGAGGACTATTAGGAGTTCAAGGCAAGCCTTGAGTACAAAGCAAGACTTTGTGAAGAATAAATAGATAGATAGATAGGTAGATAGATAGATAGATAGATAGATAGATAGATAGATAGATAGATAGACAGACAAATAAAAAAAATACCAACCCCTCAGCAACTTGAATAAAGTCCAATACCCCCTGGAATTTCATGTCTTGCAGTTCTTATAGTCAACTGGAAGCTGAAGTTAACTCCAAGTTATAAAGTGCTCCAGGAAATGGTGACATTCTTTTTTATCATGTGTAACTTCCAAGGCTCTGGTGCTCACAGTGGTATTCTCTAATTTACCTGATGTACACTGTAGGATCTGGGGTAGGTTGAATTATGGAGAGAGGGAACACAGACAGGGAAACATGGAGACAACTTCTTTGTGACATTACCTTTGCAATGGAACACACTGGTACACCTTAGAGACCGACTTAAGTGCTCCCCACTGCCATTTCTTTGGCTGGTTGGTCCCATCCCAGGATCACCCATCATTCTGCCGTCCCCACACTCATCACATCTCTACATGGAAATAGTACAGCAGGACTAGCTGGAAACCTGCTGAAGGCACCTATCTACTGAATAATGTCTCTTATGCTCCTCTCTGACATCGGGGCAGCTGTCTGCTTGTCCCAAGCCAGTCAGAAAGGAAAACACCTGTTTTCATCTCTAAAAGCAAAATGCAGCATGTTTATGAGGTCCTAAATCTCTCTCCCAACAAGCCAAACTTTTTAATTCCGTTCTTTCCCACTTGCCCTGAAGGAATATAGTTTAAAAGCAACATCAGCTTTTCGCTGCTTTGTTCTGTCTGTGGAACTCATCTTGGGAATGAAAAGCGCACTGGAGACCTGCTGTGAAATGGAAGCCATGCTGGGTTTATTTGCTGAGGTTGTGTTGACTCTAGGGGTGATCGGATTTGAACTGGCTTAGTGTCATAGGGCCAAACCCTATTTCCTAATAGGCCCCTCTTGTCCTTCTGCCATGGAAGGTCCATTAATTAGATCCCATGTTGTCCCCTCAGTCTCTTCAGAACAATGTAAATAATACTAGACTATATCAGACTTGCCTGTTACATAGGTTGTGTGTGGTGGGGCTGGTTCAGAGGGTCAGAGCACTGGGCAGAACACAGGGCAGGGGTTCAATTCTCAGCACCCCACTTGTAGGCTCACATCTTCTATAACTCCAGTCCCAGGGGGTCATCATCTTCTTCTGGCCTCCAGGGACCATGCACATGGAGGACAAAAACATCCATACTTAAATAATGAAAAAAAGTTTTTTAATGTATTAGGTAGTACTACATATTAACACACTAACCCATAGAAGTCCCTGACTTGACAAAATGAAGGAGCGGAGCTTTTGGCATTGTTTATTGAACCCAGCAATGCTGGTATGCCCCTGGCTTGGGTGTCCTGAAAACAATGATGGATGAGAACCTGAGGTCACCAGGCTCAGGACACCATCTCTCCAGCCGCACAGTGCCTTCTCTTTACCATGAGTATGGTGAATGTTTAGACACCTGTTGGTGGGATTTACAAATAAGGAGCACAGATTTCCAGACACACATAATGATAGACGGCTTCCTCTTAGCAGGAAGCAGGGTCACACAGCTTAAATTGCGGTAATCGTGGCAGAGGCGTGTGAGTATTCCCATTCAGGCTATTAGAGATTTGTTGGGCACAATCAAAAGAAATTACTCACGGATTTGGAAGCGCTTGCCTCTGGTGGAGAGAGTGCTGATCTGGGAGCCTGGCAAAAGTCCTGTGTGCCTATTCCACAGGGATGCCTTGTAAAGGAAAAAGAAAACAGTAATCACTCTGTGAATTTTAAAATGCGAATTCCTAATGAAGACCAACATGCAGAGAAAATGTCAGGAGCAAAGCAAATTTTTTAAAGAAAGGCCTTTGAAGAAAATTACCCTTTCTAAATAATACTTTAAAATACATATATTACCCATTATGACTGAAAGGCTTCAAATGCTAGAATGCAAGACATGTTTATTTTATAATAAACCCATCATAAGGTAAACTTCCTGAGATCTCCACACAGGCTCTTGTTTTGTAGCTGTTGATGTTTTGCAAGTTTTCATGAACTAATTTAGAAACTAAAGCAAAACTGGTAGAAACTCCCATGTCTAAAACTTTGAAGGAAATAACTTTTTCTTTAAATTATGATTCTCTGTCAAAATGTTGAATCTTCACAGCCCCATTGAAATGGAATACACTGGATTGCAAGTGAGTTCTGAAGAAGCAATTGTTTCATTTTTACCTGAAGTTGCCTTAGACTTGAGGTGTTATCAATTCTCACAAGATGGGAGACTTGTGGGGGAGCCACTCGGGGTCCAAGCAAGCATGACAGATGCATCAGAGTCTAGTAATGCTCAATCAGAAAGCTGCGCAGATGAAATACGGCTCTATTGGTACAGAACAAGGCAAACTTGCTGTGTCCGCTGGGTGCTCTGCTGATGGCTGCAGGCAGAGCCCTGTGTTAATGTGGTCCATCTGCTCGGGAACCTCACAGCCAGGAGGTGTCAATCAATGAGGCCACGAAGGATGGAAAGGCAGGAAAGCTGGAATTTGCAGGAGAATGTCTTTATGCTTTGTCTATGTTCTGTGAGTCACACCAAAGGAGCTTGGAATCTCTCTTGATACAAAGATGCCTTCTAAGTTGCCTCTGATGATGTTTGTCCTTCTAGCCTGGCCTAAGCAAAGAAAGGTCCCAGCCTGGTCTAACCAAAGAAAGGTCCTTCTGCTCAGAAGCAGCAGCAGGAAGGTGGTGGATAAAAGTGAACAGAGGTAGCAGAGGCCAGAGTCTCTTGGAGGGCAGTTTTCCAGCGGGTAATTATTCAAGTAAAGATTCCTGTTTGATGATGAGAAGAACCATCAAACAGAAAAATGTGACAGGAATAGGAAGTGTAATTTTTTTTGGGGGGACAGGGGGGGGGATGGAAACAGGCTAAGAAAAACAAGACTGTAAGGGATGACATTTATATACCCATAATCTGCCAAGCATCTTGTTCTGGATTTGATTTGGTGGGTGTGGCAAGGGAAGGAAGGAAAAGTAAACATAGAAAAACAAAAACAAAAAATACACAGAGACGTGTACAGAAAACCTGGAATCTAATGAGCTGTGGTCTCTAGTGGAGACATACCAGCATCTGGGAGCTCAGCACAGCTATGATAAACTGGGGAGGCTGGTGAACAGATGAACAAGGAGGAGGCAGAAGAGTTAATCTTGGTAGGAGGTCTCAGTACAGAAGCAGTCTCAGGTGTCAGTCATCTGGAAGGAGGAAGCTGTGGTTGATAGTTTCTACACACACTGGTTTTAGTTTAAGGCCAATCATTTGGAACATCTGTACTTGGGTCAGAGGAAGGCTTTGCCATTCCAGTGGGTCTGAGGCATTGGGATCCTCAACATGGCTGTGTTCATGCCAATAATATACATTTACCCTGAACTTCGTCCACTACTCACAATAATCCAGTCAACTTTTCCATGAACCTGAAATTAAAAGAGGAAACAAATTACAATAATTCTGTGATTTTTATTAATGTGTTATTAAAATTTTAAATAAGTTAACACATACATAGCAACAGTTTTGATTGACATTCTTCCTAAAAAGGCTAAGTAAAAAACTGGAGATTTGTACTGTAATGGTTAAAGTGAGGTGATTTAACAATGAAATCTAGAGAATTTTGGGTTCTGACATGATTTATTACAGACACCTGTGAAAAAAACCTTACAATTGAGTTAAGCTCTTATTGAGAACACATGTCATTGAATGTCATACTACCTCAATTAAACATCTGGGCAATCTCTTTCATTGTTGTATGTGACTCTATTAAGCTTGAACTTGGGCCTTTGGAAGATGAACAGAATCATAGCTGACATTCTCTGTTGGCCTCCAAGCTGGGGCCATCTAGGTCCTCAGAGCTGCTTGCGAAAGAATCTGAGATATTTAGCTGGGAGAGAATTGAGCACATAGGGCTCTGCTTCATCTTCTGCTGACATGTTTAGCTCTTTGTGAGAAGCAGGGAGTGAGGAGGGGGTGTCTGCTGCTGCCACAGTGGCAATACACCTAGATGATCATCAGTACAAGCAAGACTTGCCTTATCTCATGAACAGCATTTGGCTGACTCCTGTTAGTTTAGGCAATGGGTGTAAAATATGCAGACCACCGTGTTCCACAAAAAAACAGCCATAATTATTAACTATGTCCGATAACCTACTCTTTCAATTGCTGAGAAGAGCATTTACTTTGAAATAAAAAATGACTTCTTTCCTTTTTTTAAGACCTTTGACAAAAATTCATTGTAGGACCTGTATAACCAGCAAGCTTTTATTTTTCAAGCAGTGAAGATATATTTAATATGTACATGGATAACTAGATACAGATAGTAGAGGATAGAGATAGGTAGATGATACATAAATAGATGATAGTAGATAAATGGTATAGATAGATAGATGATAGCAGATAAATAGATGACAGATATAGACAGGCATATAGACAAATAGATAAATGATAGAAAGTTGAGTACATAGAAAGATGGGTGATGGATGGGTGATATCTTTTGTTAGCTTATATTAATCATTAATTAATTAATTAATTAATCCAAACACATAAATCTATTATCTTTTTTCAAATATACAACAATGGATAATTTTTGAAACAGGGATTTACATTTAATACAACACAAAAATTTACTTGAGAGAATAAAATGTGTAATCAAGGAAAAAGAAACCCTTCAATTGGCCCAGTCACACCCAGTAAGAGGTAGAACATGGGGGTAGAGATGTGTCGTGATTCAGGAAACATGGTCAGGAAAAGGGCTTGCAAGCTCAAAGTTCGTGTTCTGCTTCTTTGTTCTCCAACTTTGCCAACTGCATTAATAACATTGCACATTTATCTAATTTCTAATTTTAAAATCCGCTGACAACAGCCGTGGACACCCCACAAGTTTCTTCTGTGGAATTGAGCATTCTCCTCCAAAGTGTTCAAAGAGAACAGGATGCAGCAAAAACGTTCTTAGCTCTGTAAGAAACCACTAACTGTCATCTACAGTAATTGCACACTGTATTCCCACAGCTGAGAACATGTGTGTGTGTGTGTGTGTGTGTGTGTGTGTGTGTGTGTGTGTATGTGTGTGTCATATCTTCTACAGCTGATGCACCCTTGTACATTCCTACAGCTAAAGGGGCGGATCTCATGTCTTCCACAGCAAATGCAGCCTGGGCTACCAAGTGAGTTCCAGGAAAAGGCGCAAAGCTACACAGAGAAACCCTGTCTCGAAAAACCAAAAAAAAAAAAAAAAAAAAAATGCAAAAAATAGTACATATTTGTATTGTATTAGAAAGTGCTGAATATCCCAAATACTTTATTGACTGATCCTCTGAGAGAGAAAAGCAGAATGGCTATGTGGGTATACTTTTGTAAATTGTAAATACTAATGTAAAATAAATACAAAATTACTATCAAAAGTCATATATTATCTGTAATTGAAAGCAAAACACCCTGACAGGCCTTGATAACTGAGCCCAGAACAACTCCAGTCCGGTTAAATTAAAAATGACACAGAACCATAATGATTTGACTCTTCTGCTACACAGTGTTGCAGACCACCAAAAGGCTGAATAATTGAACATAATAATAAATTTGACTATGTATGGTAAATAACCAATTATGAGAAGCTCACGTAACTATATCAATAACGGAAAAATATACTTGTATAGATGAAGGGAAAGAAAGAAGTACTCTCTCTCTTCCCCAGAGTGTTTTGTCTACTTTATGGCATTTGGACTTCCTTATTAATTGTACAGTCAGCTTGTCAGGCTCATTGTGCAAAGAAAGCTGCTGGAATTTAGTCTGGGAATAAATTCACTCTGTATCAATTTGAATGAGATTGACATATTAAGAACACCACATCTCCTAACCCATAAAAGTGGCGTGTTTTCTTTCATCTAGACTTTCATATTTTCCCTCAGATATATTTGGCAGTTTTCAGCATAAAACATTTGCAGGTAATTTGTTAGGCTTATTTCTAGATATTGACTTGTGCGTGTAGAGATGGCTTCTGGACAGTATTGCCAATATGAGGGGATGTCCCTAAATTTTCCATCTGGCTTTAGGTTCAATGATCTTTCTTACCTATGCAAAGAGTTCTTTGTATGTCGATTTTATTTCACGTGTGCAGTCATATACTCTCCTCATTACACTGTAACTTTTCATTCTGATTTGTTTTCTGTCAATGGCACGCAGGAAATATTGCCTGTAAACAATGATACTAAACACACGTACTTCAGGACATTTATTTCACAGGCATCACAGGAGCTGCATTTTCTCAGCCAGACCTTTGTTTTGGTTGTTTTCTTTGGCTGTAAATATTTGGACAGTTTTTACTGAGTGGGATCACAGCATTTCATCAATTCCTTTCTGGGACCATTAAAGTCAGCATGTATATGTGCTCCCATTTTATCAGGGAGCTGTTCGTAAGGTAGGTTCTATCAATTGTCTATCGAACAAGTTTGGATTTGCCGAGACATCTTATACTTGCTTTTGTTTGCTGGTGTTTAACAATTGTATACACAGTCTGTGAGAAGCCTTCTCCTCCTAGGTGACAACTTTTGGAAATGTATCTCAAGATTGCGCTGGTTCATGGAGATGCATTTTTTGAGCTCCATTATGTTGCTGTGATAGTGAGATCACTGTCATACACACAGAATGAAGTAGCCCAGAGATGGTGACAAGGCACATACATGTCTGTCTTCACATTTATTGATTTATGTGCATTTTCCCCCCTGGGAGGATGATTGGGTTTTGTTCTGGAAGGTGGTGAAATTATCCAGAGATGGTCTTTGTTGAGACTATGGAGGGCTTGACTAGGGCCAGAGAGTGTCTACTTTGGACCCATCCTGCAGTTTTATTTCAGATAACCAGTTCCTTGCAGAGCCTCCCCAGCACTCTCAGAATGGCCCATGCTTTCTGCTTCCGATACCCCCCCCCCAAGATGATTGTCCAAGAGGAAAAAGCAGACATAAGTTCTTATCCTGTCATTTCCTGTCAACAGTTTGAAACCTCTCCCAAGTAATCGGCAGCTGTACACTCTTCACTCATCCTTGGTTCCTCCCTAAAGCACTGCCCCTGTCTTCCCAATTCCATCTTCTGTACACTAAGCTCTCATTCACAGACCCAGGCCTGACCCTGTACCATCCATACCAAGGGATCAAATGACTCACTCTACCTTAGTTTTTTATATCATTGAAATATTTTCATCTATTTTTTCAAAATTATTTCTCAGTGCTGGTGATGAAACCCAAGTCTGGCATGTGCATGATAAGCGTGCCCCACTGAGCCATAGCCACAGCACCAATTGATGAAATTTTATCCCTCTGGATCCTATGGTAGAGGAATGGCCTCTCAGATCACCCTTCATCTCTGAGAATTGATACTTCCCTGGGTCTGATCCTCTGCATCAAGAGCAGTGGTCCTCACCTTCCTAAGGTTGTGACTTTTTAATACAGTTCCTCATGTTGTGGTGACCCCCAACCATAAAATTATTTTTGATGTTACTTCATAACTGTAATTTTGCTACTGTTATGAATCATAATGTAAATATCTGTGTTTTCCAATGGTCTTAAGGTGACCCCTGTATAAGGGTTGTTCAACCTCCAAAGGGGTTGAGACTCACAGGTTGAGAACCACAGAGTAAGGGTTCTTTTTCTCAGGATCCTGGGACACTGATGTAGTAGTACCCATGTCCTCTACATAGAGCTGCAACATGAGACCCTAGCAGGGAATTGTCTCAGTATCTATGAACATTTCCTCTGGGCCTAACAACATTTACACTCCCTGCATAGACGAATGTCTCAGGCTCAGGAGCTACTCCCTGCTCACCCTTGAAAGTGTCATGAACATCTATCTCTCTTGGGGGAGCTGGGGCAGGTCTGAGTTTACAGTCCCTGCCATGCTTTTACCTTCGTCTTCCCCGTAGGAGAACTCAGTCTCAGGGAGATGAATTGTCACCTCCCCAGTGTCCCCATGTGCTTCTGGGGCGTGTCTCCATCCATCATCTCAATAAAATCCTTTTGGAATTTCCTTACCACACAGAAACAGCAAAAGTCCACTTTCTGACAGATAATGTACTTTGTGTTCCACTATCCCCAGAGCTCTGTCTTGAGCGTGTTTGGTGACTGATTAGCCAAACCTAAGTAGAGAGTGGAGGTAGACTAGGTTGAGACAAAGAAGAGATGGCACCTTCAATTCAGTAGATAGTGTCATCACCGGGACTGATACCAATGTTCTCCTCCTCCTCTTCCTCCTCCTTCTCATTTTCTTCTTTCCATTCACCCTTCTCTTCTTCGCTTTTTTCTTCTTTCTCCTCCTCTTCCCCTCTTCCTCCCTTTCCTTCTCTTTATTCTCTTCCTCCTTTTAAATTCCATCTGCCTCTGTCTGTCTATAGGATGATCAGAAACCCAAAATGACAGTCTTTGTACTAATAAT